TCTCTCTCTCCCTCTCATTTTACTCTCTCACTGTCTCTTACTCACGTTCTCTTACTCACTCTCTCTCTCTCCTTCTCTCTCTCTCTCTATGTCTCTGTCTCTGTCTCTGTCTCTGTCTCTGTCTCTGTGTCTCTCTCTGTCTTTCTATATTTCTCAGCCTCTTTCTGTCCACTGTTTTATTGTTTAGTCTTTTCGACAGTGTCACCCTCTATCAGCTTAGTAACACTATGCAGACGGACTTGTCGTCCACACTCTATAGTCTCGGTACAGACACCATGGCGTAATGCACACTTTCAACTTTTCCCCGTTCAATGGGGGTGAGCAGGTTCATCCAACTTCTGAGATTTACCAGTCAGCGTCTACCCGTCTGTCTCCAGAGAGGTGTTCATGTAGAGAGAAAAGAAAAATACTGTTACAACGTCTCGACATTCTGGACGAATGAATGTGTCATTTTGTTTTACTCTCCCATCGACCAGCGTCTGTGGTGCAAAAGTCAGGCGCTTATCTGTCGCACGATGATACTCGAGTTCGATTCCTGAATGGAGAAAAAATGTTTTGTCTAGTATTTCGGTCTTTCTGCAGGAAGAATATTCTTCAGCACGGGTTAGCCCTGACAGGTAGGGTCAGAAGCGGCGTTCTAATTTGACTTAAGTTTCCCCAAATTATTCACTTGCTAATTGCGAAAACTTTCTAAACATTTTGGGGAAAAAATAATAATAGGTTGAAACCAAACAGTCTGCAATGCTATGAATCCTCAAAGGGGTCAGAGATAATAAAAGGAAAAGATAAACGGGTCACGGTAGGGTTAGTGAACTTTTGCTGGCCTATTTTGTTACATTAGAATACAAGACTCAAAACTGAATGATTGACCTTGAATTCAATAACTCTAAGACACTGCTTCGCGACAAATAAAAAACAAGAACACAAACACCCCCTCTCCCACAAAACACCCCGCCCCCCACAAAAAAATCACCAACAAAAAACTAAAAGAAAAACCATGCCAAAACAAAAAGAACAAGAAACCCAAACCCTCAAATAAACAATTGGGAATTTAAAAAGAAACAAACAAAAACCCAAACAAAAAACCCACAAAACAGAACAACTTCACTCTCTGAAATTATAACATAAAAAAAAAAATCCCACTAGGTGCCCGTGCGGTAGTGTCCAGATAGATACACAAACTTGTTCGTGAAGAAGATGAGTATACAAGGGCTGGGAGGATGAAATATTCATGTCTCTTCACGCCCGGAACATAATGATGTACCCGGAAGTCCAGGACGCTGCAATTTTCGCGGGGTCCCACTCGTATCCCGGGGTCGTGGCAATGTGGCAGCGGCCTGGAAATTATTTGATCTATATGAAAATGGCGGAGGTCTCGGTGTAAATCTCCGGCCTGGCCATCTCTGTTGGTGAGACCCGACTGCCGAGATCAATGGACGCGATGCCTGTAATTTGATTTGACCAACGGAACGGTGGTCCGCGCGGCCTGGTTTACCCTCAACTCACCCTCCAGTACCCTCCCCCTCCCACACACACACTCACTCACATACACACTCCCACCCGCAGTGTTTATTCCCCCCCTCCAGTTCCCCTCATCACCTCCCCCACCATCCAAATACAACTCAAGGTTTTGCTCCATCTTTCGAAGTTCAACAGTTTCTTTTAGCGTCCATGTTCTTTTTCTCCATACTTTGTCCTTTTTTTCTCGGCTGTCTCTCTGTATGTCAGATCCTCTCTCTTTCTCTCTCCCTCTCTCTCTCTTTCTCTCTCTCTCTCTCTCTCTCTCTCTCTCTCTCTCTCTCTTTCTCACGTTCTTCCTCTCCTCCTCACCCCCTCTCTTCCTCTCTATTTCTCTCCCTTTCTCTTTTTATGTCTCTGTCTTCCTATTCTCTCTCTCTCTCTCTCTCTCTCTCTCTCTCTCTCTCTCTCTCTCTCTCTAACCCTTTCCCATTACC